TCATTCTACCTGCATTCTATCACATATGTTTTCTCTAGCTGAGGCAGGGACTGACAGTTCATTAGGCTGGACTTCTCTGATGTATATTCACTCAACAATAGGTGCTTTTGTAGGCCATGGAAGCAGGGGCAGACAAAGGTTCTGAGCAGAGGCAGAACTCTTTGTTCTGCCATACAACCATTTCATCACCTAGCACCTTGGAAAGCTCAGAGGGAAAATTGGAATGACAAACTGAATACTTAAAGCAGCAAAACCATATACACAGATGATTTTTAAATTGTAGTTTATAAACCTCTATAAAGCCTAACATTAAGAGACATGTTGATCTTTGTGGATCAGAGAATTATACCTGGGTTACAACAATCACAAAGGTGATATATATGCCTACATATACATAGTTTCCATTAAAATCCTGATTGATTTTTTGGATACACATAGACAAAATTTCAGTATTACAGAATTTCAATATTCTTAAACATCCTTATTTGGTAAACTTACATAAAAATTGCCTGATCTCCCCAAATCTGGATTCCACCCTTTCTTTCTCATCAATTCTAATGCATCTGATGTTTATTTTTTTACATATATTATTGCAAATATATATTATAATTTTTATGAAGAGGTATTTTAATTTATGTTAATGGTATTTTCACTTTTTAGGATTGAGCCTTTTTAGGATTCATCTGCACTGCTATTTGCATTTTTTAATCAGTTGTTTTTTACTACTACATAATGGTCATATTTTCTAAAAGCTTTTTACTGTATGTGTTCCCAGTGAGACACACTCTAGTAGCTTCCAATGTTGTACAAATAATGAAGCAATATACATCATCATGCATGTCTCCTCATGGATCTACGTAAGAATTTTCTGAGGAAATATATATAGGAGAATTTCTGGATCATAGGTCCCATTTATTTCAACAAACAAGGTAGTGCCTGATTGCTTTCTACAATGGTTGTACCAGCAGGACATACCACCACACCCCCACCAAAGCCTGTATTATCTAGTTTTCTGCATGTTGCCAATCTATTATTATTACAATTTACTATCAATTGGCTGTTGTTTTAATTAAACATTTTTGTGATTAGCTGTGTACTCTTAGCAGCTCTACCGATACAATTTTCACTTTTTAGGTTTCCTGTTCTGTAAATTGCTCACTTATCTATTAGATATTATGTGTTTTTCTCATTAATTTGTAGTAGTTTCTTGTATAATTTAGACAGTAATTACTGTGTTTCAGACACTGTAAATACCATGTATTCAGTGACGGTTCAAAAACTGTGTCCATGGTGATTGTCACTGAACAGAAATCCTTACCTGTGATGTAGTACAAATTATCAAAAATTTAGCTTTCGGTGGTTTTATTCAGTAAACATGTAATAATCTATTAATTGCTGAACTCTAGGGATGAGAATTTCAGTCCCATTGACCCCGGAGTTAACAGTTGAGGAGAGAGAAACACACTGTGTAATCAAAGGCAAAATGAAGTAAAAGAAATGTCAGAATTCTAAAATGGAAATACAGAATGGGAAAAATGTGTATTAATGAAGACTGGCTTTGCTGAAGTCATGAGTAAGAAAACAAGTCTTCATACCTGTGAGAAATGGAGTCAGCCTTTTTAATCTTAGCTACATGCTTCAATTTTTTAGGTGTGTTCCTAGTGACACTATCAGCTCTTTAATCTTTATTAATAAGACTATATATTGAGACTGACACTGTCTTAGAAGCCAGTGATGTGGATATGACTAAGAAGCATCCTGCTTTAAGAAGGTTACAGCAGAAAAATAGACTTTCTTTTCATATTTTTATAGAAATACTCCGAGTCTTTTTATTCAAACTATTTAACTCTGAAATTCTAGTTGTCCTTTCTAGATTATATTTTGCATATTTTAGCATAACTCCTTATGACATTAACAAATGCTCATTTAAATTCTGTATTTATTTTATTTAATATTGCTGAGCCCCATAGGGAGATGGTACACATATATTTAAAGATTTGAGGACAGATAACAAATAACAAACTACATAGATTGATAAAGACTTGGAAGCAGAGTATTGATGTAATCAGATTTTCATTTTAAATGGCTATTCAGGGCCTCCCCTGGTGGCGCAGGCAGTTGAGCACAGCGCTGCGAAGCTGTCCGCAGCCTCTGCAGCGCGGGTTTGATCCTGGCAGGCCAGTGAGAATCTCACATGGCGCGGCAGATCTCTCCTGTCTCACCTGCTGCTGCCCTCAGCAGTGTATTTCAGTCAGTCTGCCTGTTCTGCTCCCTGCTCTGTCTCTGGTAAATCCTCTTAGCCTCCCGCATATCTGGCCTGTACCCCAGTTCTTGTATGCATGAATAAATAAATCTTAAAAAAAAGTTAAAAAAATAAAATGGTTATTCAAACTACAGTGTGAGGGATGTGTTAGGCTTACCTGGATATATGAGAGCAGATATGACTTGTTTTAGAAAGGCAGAGGAGAGAGAGGTGTCTTTTTCTATGGAAATACCTGCATGATGGAGCAAAGTTCACAGAGACTATGAAAAATAGGAAAAAATAATTCAGAAGAATTAAAAAAAAATCATTAATGAGTTTGTTGTTGGGGTTAACTATCACTGATGGATTTTCTGGTTTTGTCAGGTGATATCAAGTATTATCTCATGTATTAGTTTGCTTGACCTACCACAACAAAATACCAGACTGGATACCTTCAAGAAATTTATTTCTTATAGTTTTAAAAACTGGAAGTCCAAAATCATGTGCCAGCAGGGCTGGTTTCTAGTTGAGTCTATCTTCCTAGCTTGTGTGTTTCTGCCTGCCCACTATCTCCTCAGGTGGCCTTTGCAAATGCAGAGAGAAATCTCTGATGTCTCTTTCTCTTTTTTTAAGGACAACAGTCCTATTAGATTACCCAGCCCCTTTATGATCTCATTTAACCTTAATTAACTTCTTAAAAGCCCTTTCTGCAAATGCAGTCACGCTGAGGGTTACACCTTCAACATATGAATTTTGGGGTGATCCCATAAAATAGAATTTGTTAAATGTAAATGGTTTATAACTGTATAGTCAGAAAACTACATAAGTAATTCAACTATGTTTCGCTTATATTAAGGATTCTATCAGCTGAGATTATGTTCAGCTATGTAAGATGGAAATCACAAATAAAAACGTATTTAAGCATAATATTTTATTTTTACAAAGAATCTGATGAGTTTGGAGAATTTCCCAAAATCCCCAAAACATTTCTTAACTAAATCAGATAGCAGAATTGCTGACTGGTTGTTGGGAGGGACCTTGTTTACATTCCCCATGAAACCCGGACCCCACGGTGTAGAATGCACGAAAAGTCCCAGGCCTGGTGTCTCAAAGAGCTGCTGTTGTTGTCATGGGCCAACAGTTCATAAAGAGCTATATCTCATTGTCTGGCACCACCTTCCAGTGCTGCTACCTCCATTTCTGTCTTGTCCACCGTCTGGTGCTGTCCAACCTGACCTTCAGACTGCTGCTGGGGGCTGCTGCAGTGTCATTTCAGTGGCTCTGCATGTGAGTGCCTCCAGGTGTGGTGAGTTGGATCCTGGCCTGTTGCTTGCCAGTGTGACAAAAGTTCCAGGCCCTCTTTGGTGAAACAGTGCCATCTTGAGCAAGCACCATCTTGAACTTGAACAGAAGTTCCTTTTGTTTGGAACTTCTCCTGAACCCTGTGGACACTACCTAGGATGACATATCTGGCAACTTGTGGCCTTAATAACTCTTTGTTTTCCCTGTTTTATTAAATAAACCCCATTGTTGTTCCCTGAGACTGAGTGGTCTTGCAACTGTGTGCACAGGTGAAAACCCACACACAGGACCTATTCTCTACTGGCCACTCTCCTTGGATGGCTATAGCACCCCTAAAGCCCTGTTTCACTCAGAGTCCACCCATAGCCCCAAAATAAAGATATGACCAAATCTTTGAATAAAGGCATTAACCAAGGAACTGTGATCCTATGTTTCTGCTTCAACATGCCACTTAGAAAAACAGCTGCAAAAACACCACTATTAGGGCAACAAAAAGAGATCAACCTGCTAGAAGACAGCAAGTTTAGGAAACCTATTTCAACTGTATTCATAGCATTAGGACTCCCAGTATTTAATAATAAAGGGTTCTAGATCAACAAAGACAATAATAACTAAAGTTTGAAGTGTTTTTATGAAGCTACAGTGGAGCTGGGGGTGGGATTATCTTCACTAAAACATGCACAAGTTTGCAAACGCTGCTGGTGAGAGAATTCAATATGTCCATGTGACTCCAACGGAAGCAATGGAAGGTCCACAGATAAGGACAGTAGCACGGAATCCACTTTCTGAAAGAGTAAAGCAGTAGATTTAGAAGAGATATTTCTACTATATTAATGGTTAGGATTCAAATTTTCAAAAAGTAGAACTTATATATCAATGAAATCAATACAAAGTCATTCACTGGGTATCTGAATATGACACCTTGATCAACTTAGTGTATACAAACCCAGTATATCTGAGACTAGGAATAATTTCATGGAGGCGTCACCAACTCATTTGGGGAAGGCCATTCCCATCCCCCCACCAAGGAAAACTGCAATGCAGTTCTCCAAAACAATGGGAGTGATGCTGAGCAGTTAAAGCTAATGATGTCCATTAGAATTATCTTTCTCTCTATTTACTGAAAACCAACCTGCTTAAACTGAACTATCCAACTGAGTAATTAGCTGAATGTCCAGTTTGCAAAAGCCTACAATGAAAAATTACCAAGTATCCTAAAACCAATGACCAATTATAAAAGCTTACCAAAGATGGTTAAATGTTAATGTCTATTATCAATGTTGGAAGAGAAAAAAAATGAATATTATATTAAGTATAGTCAAAACACAGTTTTGATAACAATAATCAAAAGACCCCAAATCTATAATAGTTGTAACTATGTAGTATTCCGGAAATGCTATAATTTTGTTTAGTGCAAAAAATATATATATATATATATTGGAGGGCCTCCCTGGTGGCGTAGGCGGTTGAGCGCTGCACTGTGAAGCTGTCCGCGGCCTCTGCAGCACAGGTTCGATCCTGGACGGCTGGCGAGAATCCCACGCCGCGAAGTAGACCTCTCCTGTCGCGCCCGCTGCTCCCCTCAGCAGTGTATTTCGTCAGTCTGGTGTTCTGTTCCCCGCTCTGTCTCCGGTGAATCCTCTCCCTCTCCCACGCCTCTGGCCTGTATCCCTGTTCTTTTATAAAAATAAATGAATCTTTAAACAAATATATTGGAAACACATTCATTTTGCAGAAAGTTTCAAAGGTTTGCAGAAGTAATTTAAGAGATTTAACAATCACTCTTAATAGGCATATTCATTTCTTTTACATATTGTTATGTCAGATATTAGAATGATATATAATATATAAATATATAAACACATTTTAACAGTTTATATATAAATTATAATTATGTATTTATATTTTTTTTGGTTATACGATCAATTTATTAAGTAAATGACAAATTTATTTACTTAAAAAATACATGGTAGTGGGGCCTTCCCTGGTGGCGCAAGCAGTTGAGCGCAGTGCTGTGAAGCTGTCCGCAGCCTCTGCAACGTGGTTTCGATCCCGGCTGGATGGCGAGAATCCCACATGGCGCAGCAGACCTCTCCTGTCTCACCCGCTGCTCCCCTCAGCAGTGTATTTCAGTCAGTCTGGTGTTCTGTTCCCCGCTCTGTCTCTGGTGAATCCTCTCACCTTCCAGCGCATCTGCATGAATAAATAAATCTTAAAAAAAAATTCATGGTGGTAAACTAGTTGTCATTGAAAATTCCATCAATACTTTGCTTTTGCTTGAATTTGAAGTATCTTATTTAACTTTAATTAAAAGAAAACAAAGGGTGAGATTTCTGCTTTTCTGGCACTCCTGACCATAGGTGCTCAGATCACATCATCAAGAATCTCAGGCTCTGGATTTATCTATATTGGTTCATTCTCAGATGATCTCCCTTCAAATAGTAAACATCAATGTTACGAGTGTAACCCAAAGGACATAACCTATGTACTTGTTAGATATGCAAAACCCCAGCACCCTCCACCCCCACATGCAGATGTACTGAATCAGAAACTCTTGGGGTTAGAGGAGGGGTTATATCAATTTGAGGTTCAACAAGTCATTTTTTAACATTTGAGGTCTACCATAAATGCCTGTGGGATAATACTTAACGTGCTTTTGACATGAGAGGATCCACTTTTGACTACTGAAGTTTTGGAGCCTCCAGAGCAGTCAATATCACTTTGTTCTATCATTCTATGAAGCTGAAGTGTGCATGAGACACCACCACATGTTAATTCCTTCAGCCATCTCTAATTCTGTCTTCTCCTTGTTATTATCAGAGATTTTAATAATGGATAAGCTCCACTGTTACCTTTTACCAATCATGCTAACAGACAACTTTGGACTAGTAGTAGACTTTCTCAGGGGGCTTCTTTTTTTTGAGAGGTTTGAAAATAAGTTTACTGTTGAGCTGGCCTTGGTGGGGGAAACCTTTCTGAAGCTCTATATACTTGGCTAGAAAAGAGGGCAAAGCAATCATTCTCCTTTTCTGGTGAGTTTGGAGAAAAAGCCTATCATTGTGATTCCTAAAAGAGGAATGGCAAATTTGAGGACAGGACAGTGCTAATAGCCTCTAAGACAGAGATACAATCATTCATTCCCATTGTTTTCCTTCCTGTTTCACTGACAGACCTAATGCACTGTAAAAACTGAAGGTTTAGTACATACTGCTTAACATATTTCTATATTGTGAACTGATTATGACAAAAGTTAATTTAATCTCACACATTCCCCTTTCAAATGGTGGTCTTTCAAGCTCCATTAGTGGTTATCACAGTTTATTGCTTGAACCAGCATTTGACCACCACCTGCGAGCTTGAAAAAGTTCTAAACCCCAAACCCCAACTCACAGATTCTGAATCACGATCTCTGGGAGGAGAAGAGGGTGTCCAGCATCCCATTTCCATGAGCAAGATGCATGTTAATATGTTTGAGAAACCATCCAAAACTCCACATGAGACAACACTTACTGAGCAGTTTAGAATCCAGAGGACCTTCAGGCAGTGTCACTTCTTCCCACCACTCTGAGAGCCAGATGTGGGCCCATAGACACAGGCACAAATGGGGGTCGTGCAACTCTTTCTAGCCATGTGACGCCCTGGTTGTTTTCAAAATAAAACATTAGAAAGGGAAGATTTCCAATGCAAACTTGGGTCTCACCTTCAGTCAGAGATCTATGGACTAGTGGGATTTATGGAGAGACATCTTTTTTTTAAAGAAGTCAAAAGGTGCTAAGAGTGGCTGCAGTGAGTACAGTGCTAAGGAACCCTAATGGGGCAAGTTTCTGAGGTCTCTGGCACTTGCTTCAAAATAGGGAAAACCGGAGTATCTCTCTCTGTTATGAGGTGAGAAAATGTCTCTTTAAGAAGCTACCTCAGAAGATTCTCTCTTCTTTTCCACTTCAACTATTTCACATCTCTGAAGTAGGGATGAGTACATTCGTGAGGACTAGTTTGATGATGGTTATGGGCAAAATCCAACACCTCACTACAGAGGGGTACCTGGCACTTCTGGTTCTGGCTTTGGAATCTGAGGCCAAACTCTCCTATAACAGGAGCTGTTGTTTTCAACATCCAGAGACATGTAGGCTCAGGGAAATTCCTACCCATACCAATTCTTGCAGAACACTTGCATTCTTACCACAATTGGTGAATTTTCATATCTTGCCTGAGAGATACAGACATACCTGGAATTTACACAAAGCAGCAGAGGATATAAACTTCTATGGCTTCAGATTTACCACAGAAGACAATGACCTGCTCAGAGAACATGGTGAGTAGCTCTACCAGTGCAAAACTCATCCTCACAGTGGTTACGGGCACAGGTGTGGCCTGCATTGACTAAGTTTCAATGGGAGTGCTACTGATTACTTATCTTATGGACTGCGGAAACTTCTGGTATTTCTGACTCCATGAATAGTATTTCAATTCCTTCTCGTCCAGGAGTACTGAAATAAGATGACAAAGAAACACTCAATGTAATTTATGGATTTACAATACACATTGCATGAATTAATATGTACATGTTGTTTATGTCTATAATGCATTCTTTGTCCCTTCAATTTTTTATGTTAATACTGTCTACATAAATTACACAAAAATACGAGAGTATACCATTTTGGCCTCATTGAAACAAGGCTCACAGATCATGGAATCCCTAGGCTCCCATATTCTTTGTTTTCTTAATCTGTGCTAATTGAAAATAAAAGAATACAAAACACTGAAACTTTAAGGTATAAATCATGCTCATCTGATATATACAAATATAAACATATTTGTGCCTTCATTTACAGACATATATACAGACACACAAACACACATACGTGTGTGTGTATAGTGAACTGATCACCACAATATCTCCTCAGCATCCACTGTGATGGTTTGATACACACATTATGCCCCATTCACATGGTGGTGTCCAATAATCCATAAAATATTATCACAGAGTTACCTGAGAGTTTACCCAGAGTAGCTTCACAATCACATATGCACAAGTGAAAACAACAAACTCTTAAGCCACATCTCACATATTTGAAATCATCCTTTGCAAGTAGAGGAGGTGGTTCACCAAAGCCATAGCACAAGCAGGATGCATGCCAATGTTTAAACAGCAACAAATACTAACATTAGAAAGCACTTACGGGGCTTCCCCGGTTGCGCAGCAGTTGAGCACTGGGTTGCGAAGCTGCCCGCAGCCTCTGCAGCGTCGGTTCGATCCCCGGCTGCTCCCCGGCCACCGGAGGAGGGTCCCACATGGCGCGCAGACCTCTCCTGCCGCCCGCTGCTCCCCTCAGCAGTGTACTTTGGTCCTTCTGCCTGCTCTGCTCCCCGCTCTGGCTCTGGTGAATTCTCTCACCTTCCCGTGCTTCTGACTGTACCCAGTGCTTGTATAAACAAAAAACAAACAAACAAATAAATAAATAAAACATGCCTCTATTAAAAAAAAAAAAAGAAAGAAAGCACTTACTGAGCTCCTTTAAATCCAGAAAAATGTCTACTGATCCTGAAGTTTCCGAGACCCCCGACAAACCAGTATCATTTCTTCCACCATTCCAGGAAAAATGAGTGTCCGTGAAAAAAATTGACAGATATCTCACTCCTGCAGCTTTCTCTGGTCTTGTGGCCTACTGGCAATTCTCAAAAAATTGTCAGCAGTGAATTCATCTTCAGTGTTCACAGAATCCAAACTAGAATCCAAACTATCAAGCAGAGACTTCACCGTGGATTTTCACAGAGAGCCTCCTTCAGTGGAAGGAAAGCAGACAACTTGCTGTATCTGCAATGAGCACAGCACAGAGGAAATGCCCAGTGCATTTCACTGGGACATATATTTGAAGCCTCTAATAGCAGGCTAGAAGCAAGGAGAAAGCAGACTTTGTGCCCCACAGAAGAGGCTCTAGGAAAAACTGAATCTAGAGCAGTTGAAAAGTCTCTCTAAAATTTTCCACTGTAGCTCTTCTAAGTCTGACACTGAAATGAAGGCAAATTCTGCAGAGCCATTTGGGTCAGGTTTCTTATAGGAAATCCAGGGACCTCACTGTAGAGAGGAGGCAGGGTACACTGACCATCTAGTTTGGAAAGGGAGAACTAGGGGCCAAAGGAAGCCAGGAGAGAAAACTCGGCTTTCCAAATACCAAAATCGCCCAACTATGGGCGATACATACTACATCACTATACTTGGATGAATTCTTTCTTGCTAGCTCAGTGCACATGAAATCCCTACAGAAGGGATGGAGACAAACTTGAAATTTGCACAAATCAGTCGTAGCCCCACATGTCTTGACCGCACATTGATCATGGAGAAAAGGTTGGCCCGCCTACGTTCTGGAATCAACATGGTGGGTAGAACAGTTCCTTCCTCATCCAGGTCGGCAGGGTTGGCAACATGAGGACGTGCCGAGAGGGCACAAGTCCAGATTTGCTGCTCTGTCCAGACTTGTGAACAACTGGTCCTTGAAGAGAAAACATTAGCACAGGATCGTGTCGAAGGTGAAGATGGCTGCCCACCAGTGGATTTTCTGGAGACACGTCTCTTCCTTAAACTTTGAAGGCCATCAGTGTGCCTACAACAAGCTAGCTCTGGAAGCTCAATGGAGACACATTAAGAAGTCCCTCTGAACACAGCACTTGCAATCAGGGAAAACAGTCGCACTGCCCATCTGAGGCAAGGTAACAACCACACAGAAGACCAGGGTCATCTAGAACCCCCAGGAGTAGGTGCAGTCCCAGAGACACATGAGCCCCATGCACATTCAAGAGGACTAGGTCCTACTTTTTCCAGCTTCCATGAAGATAGCTTCTACTTAGCCTTGAAATGCATGACCTTGCAAAGGGTTCAGACCACTCTGTGAGCAGAGCACGCAGTGTTCAGCAGAGGCAATGGGGAAAAACTGTGAAACCCCTGCCTTCTGCTACAAGCTAGGGGAAGATAACTCTGTGCCTCTCGAAAGACTAGAGTGAAAAAATTAGCCTACTCCAGTTCAAAAGGCTGCAATATCCCACTTCACCATGTGGAAGTCAATAGGTTGAGAGGGAAGGGAAGGGAAGGTATGCACAGGTCCCAGGGCCAGGCTCTCGAAGGGACATCGCAGACCTGCTCTGTACAAGAGGAAGCAGGGTATGTGGCCATTCTGATCTGGTACTTGGGGGCAGGACCAGGAGCTGCTACGAGAGGAGCAGGTTTCTTCCATACCCCGAACAAGGGCGTTGGCCAAGGCGCATCCCAGCCTCTGGGTGTTCTCAGCACGCATTCATTCATGGCCGCGTGGGACTTTTGACGTCTCTGGCAGGTGGGTCAGAGACAAAGCCGATTTTTCCACCAAGCACTCCTGACCGCGCACTGCTATGGCTGAAGAGTTGCTATGAAGAGGTTGGCCTGCCCGGGACTCGGAATCACACTTATGGGGAGAGCGGCTCCTGCCTCAACCACTTAGGCAGGGCAGGCAGGAGGCCTGCTGACCTTGGGACCAACCACTGCTGTTCATTCAGGTGCTCCTCTGGGCTGTTGCCTGAGGAATCCCTTTTCCTTTCTGTCCCTCAGGTCCTCAACCCATGGCAGGGAGAAGTATGTCCACAGGCAATCTCCGTGACCCTGGAATGAGATGACAGAAGCAGCGTTCATCCGCGCCCTGCAACACCACCAATGGCGACCACTCCCAAGGGGTCCTCTCCCATTACTCCACCCATCCTGGAGGTGGCCCCTGATGTGTGCGCATGGGGCACATGTGCCAGCACATGTTTTTCAACTTCTGTGTGACGATTTCCCTCATGAGTGCCCAACAATATAACGTGGCTGCTGCGCTGGCGTTTGTAAAACGTGGCTCACTTCAGGAAAGTACCCTGACTCGCTTGCATTTCGGGGTTCTTTTTTGTTTTACCATGCCATCTTAAGGCGAATGTTCCTGGAGGCAAAGCCATGGGTAGCTCCAGACAGAGAAGGCAGTGACTAGACACCGGCCTGGTCCCCAAAATGAGTACGATAGTGTTCCCTTCACCCCTGCTGGCAATACCCTCATGGGCCTAGTCCTCAAATGCTGGCCTCTCATGCCCTGTCTCCTGGACTCACGGGGTGGTCCTGACCAGCCTCTGCCCACCACCTTGTTCCAGGTGTTAAATTCTCACCAAGCTCACCCGATGGGACTCAACAACTCTGGCAGGAGAGGAAAGGAGGGTCGGGGTCGGGGGGTGTTGGAGGGGTGCTGCGTGTGGGTGCGGCCATACTAAGTCCACAAGGAGGAACACTCCAGTGTTGGTTAACCGCCAAACTCCCCAGAGGGTCATACTCACAGCACTTGTGGAGTCCACAGGGTCTTCCACACTTAGTTCTTTGTGAAACTCCTGAGCTGTCAGTGTCACTTCTTTGCCTCACACTAAGGCTGGACCTGGAGTCCCAGCCTGGGCTCACATCCGCATCCTGCTGCTCTGTCTTTTTATGTGTGCGCCTGGTCTGTGCACAGAAAACATTAGCACACGATCCTCTCCAGGGTGAAAATGGCTGTCTAACTCAACTGAGGTATGGCCATGAGCTGAAATTCTGAAGATATTCTCTTTTTACAAGTCGGAAGGCATCACAGTACCTGCAACAAGGCTAGTTTGGAAGAACTCTGAGGAGACATTTGCGAAGCCCCTCTGTACACCGCTGTTGTATTCAGAGAGAAGAGTCATTCTGCACATATGAGCCACTCTGCTCAACACTGCACGCTCTGCAGACAGACAGTGGCCCGATGTTTAGCAAGGGGAAACACTTCAAGTTTAAGTATCGAATATCTCTGCAATGGAGACTAGAAAAAGCAGGACCTTAGAAGCATAAATATGGCTGTCCAACTCTTACTGTTATCTGCCAATCAATTGATTTTCTGGAAACACTCTCTTCTTTACAATTTGGAAGGCATCAGAGAGCCTGCAACGAGGATAGCTTGGAGGAACTCAGAGAAGATATTTGCGAAGCCCCTCTGACACTGCTGTTGCATTCAGAGAGAAGAGTCGCTCTGCCCTCTGAGGCCAGGTAAGGCTTGTTTCAATCAACTCAAAATACCTTCCCTTGCTTTTCACCCATAACTCCGTCAGGTCCCCGAGTGGAGACACAGGATGTACGTGCCCAAGCAGGTGCAGGCCGGTCCCTGGCAAACAGTCAGGACCTCACTTTGAGGCAAGGGGTTCCTGGCCTTGCGGAATGCTGGCCCTGGCCTCCTAAGAACGGAGTTGAGCCTTGGCTCTGCAACCACCGAGCCTTGAGTCTTGGACCCTTCCCCAAAGACATGAAGAATCAGGGCAGACTCTGCATTTTAAGTGTCCCCTCGAGTGATAGGAAGTACATGGCCAGGTATGTGGAGCAGTTGTGGCTGCATACTGCTGTGGACAGGAGAACCACGCACAAGAGCAGGGCCTCTCCGAATCCCTGGGGAGTACTTGAAGCCGCTGTGACACCTGGGTGCCATGCACATCAACAGCACGCTTCTAAGGTCCTGCTTTCACTAGGCTCCGTGCAGAGATACCCGATACTTAAACAGGAAGCGCTTCCCCTTGCAAAGGGTTCAGGCCACTCTGTGTCTGCAGAGCGCCCAGTGTTGAGCAGCGGCACTGTGGAACGTTTTTGAAGCCCCTGCCATTGGGCTGCAGCTCAGGTAAAGCCAAATTTGTGCCTGAAAGACTGAGCCTAGTCCAGCTCAAAAGACTCTGCAATGTCCCACCACGGCATGAGGAATCTCTGGGCTGAGAGGAAAGGTAAGGGATGCACCAGCCCCTGGGCCAGGCTCTCGAAGGGACATCACAGGCCTTCTCTGTACAAGAGGAAGAGGGGTATGTGGTCTTCTTGATCTGGAGCTTGGGGACAGGGCCAGGAGCTGCTACAAGAAGAGCATGTTTCTTCCATGCCCGGATCAAGGATGCTGGCCAGGGTGCAGCCCACCCTCGGAGTTGCCCTCAGCTCACTTTCACTCTTGGCCGATGGGGACATTTGACATCTCTGGCAGGTGGGACAGGAACAAAGGCAATATTTCCACCAAGCAGGTGTGGCTGTACAATGCTGCGGCCACAGTTTCATCATGGAAAAGAGGTTGGCCTGCCCGGGACTTGAAATCGCACATACGGGGAGAGCGGCTCTTGGCTCAACCTCTTAGGCAGGGCAGTCGAGAATCCTGCTGACCACGGGTCCATCCAGAACACAGGTGCTCATCTGGGCAGTGGCCTGAGGAAACCCTTTTCCTTTGTCATCAGGTCCTCAAACCATGACGGGGAGAAGTATGTCCACAGGCAATCTCCATGA